ATAGTGCATTGTAGGTAAAAACTGTGACTGTATGTCTGAAATGTCCCCATGTCTATCTGTCATTACAGTCTCCCATTTGGTCCCCTAGGGGAGTGTCCACTAAGTGGGAGACCTGCATAAATACGGGCGGGTAGCCCACAGTAAAGCCAGATCCTGTTTGACTCTCAATGCGGAGCTTCTGTCTCGTTATTGGGGGGATTTCTTCTTTGCGTTTAGAGACTGCTGGATGGAACCGAAAGCCGCTTGGTGGATGTTGTTGTTCGGAGGCTAGCAGCAGTTTGTGGATTTCCGTTCGGGAGTTTGGAGCCGTTCACGGATCTCGGTCGGGAGATTGCCGCTTCCCCTGAGTTTGGTTTGTACACTGCAGTTTATGCGAACGGAGATTATTGATATTGCAGAAGGGGAAGGCTGACTAAATGGTGGTTTCGTTTAAAGACACCAGGGGTGTCTTAACAGAAATGTTATTACCCAGGCTGCCATGCTCTCTCAAAGGCAAGATAGGCCCAGAAAATCGCTTTGCCAATTTTCAATGTGTAAAACCAAAAATGGACAAGCGTATATTTGACCCTGTAACTTTCCAAAACCCCATAAAACCTACATGGGGGATACCGTGGCGCTCGTGAGACATCACTGAACAGAACTAGGAGTGTTTCAGGGCAGTAAACTATATACTGACAATAATATTATCAGTAAAAGTACAGTTTTTCTGTGAAAAATGCAAAAAAAAAAAAAAAACGAACACTAACTTTGGCTAACATTTGTGCCAAAGTGGCTACTACAAAAGACCGGGCATACCCCATTTTGTATACCCTTGGATGTCTACTTTTTCAAATGGTATGCCAAGATGGGGTAACTTACATTTCTTGGCTGCCTTACAGTCTCAAAGGCAACCTAGGCCCAGCAAACCAATCTGTGAAATTTCTATGTAAAAAATAAATAAATAGACAAGATGTATATTTGACCCTGTAACTTTCCAAAACACTATAAAACCTATACATGGGGGTTACTGTTTTACTCATGAGGCATTTCTGAATACAAATAAGTATGTTTTATTGCAGAAAAACCAAACAGTATTGTGACATTATCAGTTAAATTGACATGCAGAAATTGAAAAATATCAAATTTCTACATTTTTTAAACTTTTTTAGATTTTATTCATATAAAATGGAGTTCTATATATGAATGTTTGATATGGAAAGAAAGCCCTGTTTCCCCTGAACAAACTGATGTATAATAAGTGTGGGTGCATTTAATATGAAAGAGGTAAATTATAGTTGAACAGACATAGTCAAATTCTGTGGTTTGTTTACATTTTGTTTTGATCACAACTTGTACATTTGGCTCCGTCCTTAAGGGGTTAATCTCTCCATTTAATATTTCTATGTTTTAATCATTAGAGATATTTGTATTTTAACCTTTGCACTGGGTCATATGACCTTTATTAAGGTCAAATGTCACATATGACACCATTTTGGTGTCAATTTGTTAAATTATGAATTGTAAAACTCCTCTATATATAATCATGTCTACACAAGCTTTATTACTTGAGCGGTGAGTAAAAAAACATCTATTTTTTTTTACCTGTATTTGATTTTATCACAGTAAGCACTATTGTTTGCTTTTAGATTTTACCCATTGTATTCATCAGAGTGCTCAGATACAAACCCACAAGTGCTACAAATCCATCAGTGAGGATTCAATTGAGATAATTGAGTTTAGTATAAGTGCTTGACTCAATTATCTCCCAGGTACAGAGGAGAGATTAACCTATTATGTGTGGGAGTGTTAAACGCTGTATCCTGATTTACTCAGAGCTGGCTTATAGCTCTATCAAATGTGAGTGTGAGTCCACATATCCTTGTTGTGTGTCCTACACTTAATATCAGTCTACCTGCATGATAATTATTTTTTTTCTGTTTTATTACATATCCCCACCACTATCTGAAGCATGGAAGAGTTCCAGCCAGACATTTCCTATTTTTTGGACGTATTGTACTTATTATGGACAGTATTTGGCGCAATCTGTTTTTTTGTGTTTTATATCTTAATCACTTACTGCTTCTTTCACCCCTTTGGAACGTTTTACATTGGTTCCTGTACGCTTAAGAATCCAATTCAAACTACTGACCCTTCAACACTTCCATTTCACTCTACATTACCTCTTTAATTCACACATACAACCCATGTTTCTCTCCTATCTCTATGAGTGACCTTCTTTTGCCCTCCATTCACAAACTGCTCATTCTCAACTACAAAATTTCTCAAGGCCTTCATTATTCCTACAAAATGCCCTACTTTGATGTGTTAACCATTCTCCTAACGTCTAGTTCTTTAAGAAGCAAATTAAAAGTAATCTTACTTTTGGATGACTCTTCTCGCTTACAAAAATGTTTCTGGTCCCTCAGTGCATTACCTGAGTTTCCATTAGATTTGTGCAATTATGTGTTTTGTTCATAAACAAATCGATGGATCCACCTCAAAATCCTTTTTATCCACAATCAGGCAAATCAATGTATCCATACAAGAAAAGGAGAATACCTCCAAAAGGGGGCCTGGAGTGTGTAAAGGGACTTCAAAGGAGGTAACCCTAAGAATTAGATAAATTGTATACAGAAAATGTCCAATGGATATAAAGTCCAGAGGACACAAAGAAGTCCCTATATGGATACTATGTATTATTCAATATGATTAAAAATCAGTTTATTAGATAATAATTAAACATATATAGCAAAACCACAACAGAAAAGGAAAAAGAAAACGTATTAATACACACGGAGTAGAGAACAGAAGCTAATAAGCTCTGCAATGTAAGAGGGGTAGAAGGTGTTCTGTAGCAATGAAGGCTGCTTAAAATTTCTAGAATTAGAGTTAGGAGGAACAAAAGTTAAATAGATCAGAATCACTCTTGCTTGATGTGGTTATGGTGAGTTAAAAATGTATTGTTCACAAAGTTCACAAAGGTTAACCAATTGATTGTAAGTTGCTGAACAGTATGAACAGTATGAAACCTTTGAAGTCTTACAACAATGATTTGAAATCAATAACCCCCTAAAAGGAATCCTGGAGAAATAGTCACTGTCTATTGTTCACAAAGGGTTAACCAACTATCAGAATGCAGATAGGAGGAACAGAAGTAAAGTAGATCCAAGTCACTCTTGCTTAAAGTGGTTATGGTGAGTGAAAGACATATTGTTCACAAATGGTTAACCAACTATTAGAATGGCTAAGCACCATAGGACCTATGAAATAAAGCGACAATATATTGAAATCAGTAACCCCCCACCTAAGAGGAATCCCTAGCCTAGGATATATTTTACTCACAAAGGGTTAACTAACTGACTGTAAGTTGTTGAGCAGTATGAAACTTTTGAAGTCTAAGAGTTATGTAGCAATGAAAGCTGCTTAAATTAATGTATCCATCCATCCATCCAAGTTATTTAGTGACTTGATAAAATGTTGACTTTTGATTTGAATTAAAAGGATTGTGATTTGGATTATGTTTATGTTTATTATGATTATGTTTATTTTGTTTATGGACAAAAATAATGTCTACAGTACAGTTCACTCTGTTGCCTTCTACATGGCATGTTCCTTGCGACCAGTGTTCTTTCATCCCATCCTCCTACAGATACTAATAATATCAGAAATTAAAGATGTGCAAGTTTGATCTACCTACTTTTTAGAAACATGATTTAAAGGGCTCCTTGACTATTATAGCAGTGTAGTAAAACAATACTATATTTTTACATAGTTGCCTGAAAAGAATGAAAATAGCATTGACTTAAACTATGCCTGTAATCAGTGTTACTGTGAAAATTATTTGAATGAATTAGCTAATTGATGATATAAGTCCAAACATCAAGGAAGATATTTTTAACCACATTTTTTTCATTTTCATTTTTTACATTTATTGGATATTTTAATGCATTATGTACATAATGCATCAAAATGGGGGGTATTGACATGACTTTCAATACCCCTTTTACTCTGTGCTATTACAGCAGGAGGGGCTTTCTAATTATGTTTTGAGCAAGTCCCAAAAAATAACTTGGGTTTAACCTCTACCCTTTTCATGTTATCCTTAATATCTGCCTTTTCAATAAGACTGCTACATGCACATAAAAACTATGCATAAAAAAACATATATTCAAATTTGAAAATTGGATATTCATATTTCTGCTTATTATGTATTGCGTTAAAATATTTCAGTATAGTGATTAAATACCACTGAATAAATCATGCAGTTTTAAAAATATGTTAAAAAAGCCAGGGGTTAAGGTTGGTGGGGGGTTAACAAGTGACTTAGATTACACAGGTCAGTTTTTGTTAAAGGACCACTATAGTGCCAGCAAACTCGTTTTCCTGGCACTATAGTATTAATAGGTCCCCCCTACCCTCATGGCCCCCCTCCCGCCGGGCTGAAAGGAGAGGAAGGGGTTAAATCACTTCCCTTTCTCTAGCGCCGGGCTCCCTCGGCGCTGAGGACTCTCCTCCTCCTTCGGACGTCATCAGCTGAATGCGCATGCGCGGCAAGAGGCGCGTGCGCATTCCGTCAGTCCATAGGAAAGCATTCTCAATGCTTTCCTATGGACGCTGGTGTATTTTCACTGTGATTCCCCAACTTTGCAAGCCCATTACTTCAGTGAGCAAGCCTGATCATCTGCAAAGCCTGATTCCTGGGGGGGCGTGTCCGGCAGCCGACCAAGATGGATGTGTGAACCCGGAGCTCCTCGTGGTGCCCGCACAAAAAACGCTAGCAACCTGCTAATCCTGCTCGCCACCACACAGTAAATGGGCCGCACAAAGAAGCCAACCGACACAGGAGGCACCCTGAGACCCGTGGGCCCCAGGGGGACCACACAATCAGATCCTACCTTCACTCCACGGCCCGCGCACAATCGCTGCAACCGGAAATGGAGGCCGCAAACCAAGCACCGGACTCCACTCCATCCACCCCGGCCAGGCACTCACCAGCCCAGTCCCTTGCATTAGAGCCACAGATGCCGCTGGAAGATGGGTGGAGAGAGATACTGCCCAACTTCCTCACAAAAGCAGACTTTGAGGTCCTCTCTGATCGCCTGGGCTTTGTGGTACATGAAGAGGTGGCCCAACTCCGCGCAGACCTAGCAAGTGTGGAGTCTTGCATGTCCGTGGCGGAGGTGGAAACCAAGGCCCTCCAGACAGACCTGGAGCACACCAATACGGCAGTCACAGGTCAAGAAGTAGACATGGCCTATCTCACCACATGGATAGACGACCTAGACAACCGCGGCCGCAGGCTGAACCTACGTGTCTGCGGGGTGACAGAGGGAGGCCCGTCTGAGAATATCCCAGACACGCTGAGGCAAATATTCACACAGGTACTGTGGGGTCAGCACATACCCAGAATAGGCCTAGTCAGGGCACACAGAGCTTTGAGACCTCTGTCAGCCCTGGAAGACCAACCCAGCGATATTATATGCTGTCTAGATAATTATCAGCTAACAGAAGAAATATTACGCATGGCCTGCCGCATGGGAACCCTACACCTAGAGGGGCAAAGTATAACCATCTATCACGATTTGTACTGCTTTATGCTACAAGCAAGAAGAGCCCTATGCCCGGTGACCTCGGCCCTGCAACAAGCAGGAATCCCGTACCGCTGGGGATACCCATTTTCCCTGACAGCCAGACACGGCCCAGACCAGCTGACAATAAGAAAACCAGAAGAAGTCCCAAGCTTCCTGCGCACCTTAGGCCTCCCGCCTGTACAAGTACCTGACTGGCTGGCGAGGTCATTCCTCCAGCAACCACCAGGACCGCAGCAACCACGCAGACCAGATTAAGACCCCCAAAGGCCCCAGCACCAATGCCACTGTGACTGGAACCAGGGCCAAGCAAAGCGTGAGTGGTAAACAGACCACCACACAGCCTGGGGGGATCCAACCGGCCAAAGCAAGACCACACCAAACTGTGAGTAACAACTAAGGGGACATACACAAGTACAACCACCAAGCGCGAAGGTTTGGGGAGGAGGATGGGTGTGTGAACCTGGAGCTCCTCGTGGTGCCCGCACAAAAAAACGCTAGCAACCTGCTAATCCTGCTTGCCACCACACAGTAAATGGGCCGCACAAAGAAGCCAACCGACACAGGAGGCACCCTGAGACCCGTGGGCCCCAGGGGGACCACACAATCAGATCCTACCTTCACACCAAACTGTGAGTAACAACTAAGGGGACATACACAAGTACAACCACCAAGCGCAAAGGTTTGGGGAGGAGGATGGGTAACCGGGGGGACTGAGGGGACTAACACATTATTCCCCACTCAACAAATGGGGACATTTACCAGAAGAGGGGGAACTGGACAATTGGGGAGGGGAACGGGCAAACAGGCCAGAACAGGGGGCCAGCAAGAATGTATGCGAACACGCTCACAACGCCCAAGCACTACAACTTTGCACGGCATAATGACAGCAATCTGCAAGGATACAAAATTACACTCATAGCAATGCCACACAAGAGAAGGGAAAGAAAGGAAAAAGGGAAGGGAAGGGCACAATTTAAGAGAGATGTGAGTGAGAGAACAGGCAACAGAACACACAATATAGGCAAGGAAGATAAAGGAAAGCTTAGCGTGTAAAGGGAAGAGGTCGTGAAAGACAGGAATACAAGGCAAAGGAGAAGGGAAAGGAGAGGAGGAGGGAACGGGGGTGGAAAGACGGGGGAGGGAGGAAGAAGAGAGGGAGGGGGACGGGAGGGGGGAAAAGAAAAGGGAGTGGGGGGGAAACACAACTATCTATTCACCCACCACAGGGCGCTCCAAGATAGCTCGATTAAGGAAGGCGGGGACGGGATGAAGAGCCACAGGCAGCACGAACATATGTAGAGAAGTGAGAACATACAAAATGGAAAGCCAGCTGGGGGATATAACTATTACCTGCTATGTGCGCTATGACTACTCTATGTAATATTGAACATGCAATAAACTCCCCAAGTGCACACTGTGTGTAAACACACCCAGACGCGGTGACAGCCAAACCCTTAGGCCAGCGCTCACCCATGCATGAAACACAGGACAATAGTATGATAAGGTAAAAAGACACAGAGAGATGAACCGGGGGGGGGGGACACCCAACCACCCCACCATGACCCCAGACCACAAAGCACCAGAATTAGAGACACTTAACAGAAGATAACATGGTACCCCCGGAAACGACCCGCTTGACTATCTACCCCAAGACCCCACCGGACCACACAGTCCAACCAAACCACCATGGCACACAACCAAACCCCTTAAAACCACAAGGCCCATAAAATGTGGTCCCCTCCCACTAGAGCCGTGCCCATAAACAGGCTGACAGGACGGCCACCACACTAGAAATGGGAGACAACACACCAAGCCCAACACCAACCACAAACTCTAACACCCGCACAGACTCGGCAGTAGCCAGCAGCAGGCAGAGCCGGCTTGGACACACAGCCCGACACCTCCACAGGACCAGGACACATGACCCCCTTCTAGAAGGGACACACACACTCCCCAGAGTCGACTCGGACCCTCCAACAGGCCGGACGAACAGTCGTACCAATGGGATAACTGTCCATTACCCTATACGGATACTGTACCCCCTAAGGCAGTGCAAACACACACAGTACTGAAACAGAATTCACACGCGAACACAACCACATAACCCATCCCATACAGACACCTACAAGCTCTGTGTCCCCCACCACCCTTCTCCCCCCATCCCCTGCCTTACCCAATAGTCCCCCATGGCCACCAGTGGGATGCCGACCCCGGGGGCCGAACGGATTAGCGCGGGAGGACCTAAGCATAGTCTCGTACAACGTACACGGATTGAACATCAGGGAGAAACAAACAAGACTTCTGCGAGACCTGAAACACTACAAGGCGTCGGTAGCCTTCCTGCAGGAAACCCACTTTCAAGAGGGCAGAGCACCGGCCCTGAAAGACCGCAACTTCACACAAGGCTCGACTACTTCCTCACACCACATCAAAACCTGACGCTGCTCACGACCGCAGAGATCCTACCAATGACCTTCATCCGCATGCGGATGAAGTGTCGTGGTGGCTGAACGAATCACTCCTATCTGACACGACAGTGGTAGATAAAATCAGCCACTCCATACAAACATACTTTGAGGAAAATGAAACAGACAACGTGATGCCACTAACCTGCTGGGAGGCACACAAAACAGTGATATGCGGCCAAATCATTGCAATCAGCGCATCCCGCAAGAAGACAGCGATACAAGCGATCCTCGACCTCAGCAAAGACATAGCAACCCTGGAGGCAAGACATAAACGCACCCTGGATGTGACAACATATAACACCTAGTGTCCAAACAAGATCAGCTCACCACACACCTCAACCGCTCGATACAACGCTCATACCAACATTACAAACACATGATGCATGAACACAGAGACAAATGCGGGACATGCTAGCAAACCTCCTTAAACAATGCAAAACCCAACTCTACATCCCAAAAATCATAGACACACGGCTGCAACTCAGACACCGGCCAGACCAGATATCCACAGCGTTTCAAGCCTACTTCCAGAACCTACTTCCGTCGAGAAGCCCCCACAGACTAACATAATTGAAAACATCCATCTGCATGAAGGACGTCCTCCAGTGCCCATTCGACAACCGGCCACTGGACGAATTATTCTGGAACCGACCACTCACCTTCATGCACACAATCCAGAGAGCGCAAATGGCACAATACGCTTTATCTATCCCTCAGAAACCATCCCTCCTGAGAGAACCAACATCATTTGAATTCCTCTGTACACAAGACAAGGAACCACCACAAGCTATATCACAGATCGACTCGGTTCTAATTACAAGCAGATACCTACTGGCACCTCCATGCATCAGACAGTGGGAGGAAGACCTAGATGAACCTATGACGGAGGCAGAATTGGACACACTCATTACCTTGATACAGAAAACACTGGGCTCAGCGCGCTTCCAGGTTTTCACCCCTGGATGCCGCGAACATGCCAGAAATAGGTGACATAGACCGAGAGGCATTAGAGGCACCCATAACACCAGAGGAGATAGCGTACGCCATCAAGAGAGCAAAAACAGGCAGAGCACCAGGACCAGACTGCCTCCCCCTCCAGTATTACAAGACGTTCACACAAGATACGACACCGAAACTCATAATGGCACTTAATTCCATCCAAGACGGGGCCATACCAACGGCCCAATTCACTTTGGCCAACATCACCCTACACCCGAAGGAGGGGAAAGACCCTACACTGTGCCCTAGCTACCGCCCAATATCCGTGCTAAGCACGGACCTTAAACTCCTGGCAAGTATTCTCGCAACCCGACTGGTGCCGCTGCTACCGGCATCAATCCACCCAGACCAAACGGGATTCATCCCAGGTAGGGAGGTGAGGGACAACACCATCAGAGCCCTGAACATCATAGCCCACGCCAACTGATGTTCGAAACTCTCCGACAATTCGGCATAGGGGCAAAATACCTCACCTGGGTGACGGCGCTATACACAAACCCAACAGCACGGATCAGGATCAACGGCGCACTATCAGATCCATTCCAGATCCACAACGGAACCAGGCAAGGCTGTCCACTCTCGCCCTTGCTGTTTGCACTGACACTGGAGCCCTTCATCAACAAGATCTGATGGAATACAGACATACAAGCAATGAGGATCGGAAACTCGCACCATAAAATCCTGGCATACGCAGATGACCTTTTGTTTGTGGTTACGAACCCGGATACCTCCCTCCGGGCAGTACAGACAGAATTTGAACTATATGGGCGACTTTCGAACCTCCAAATTAATCACTCGACGTTCGGAGATCGTGAACCTGAACGTCAACCACGCACTTAGAAAAAGGATCCAGAGACAACACCCATACCGTTGGTGCGACCACCGAATGAGATACCCAGGGGTCTGGCTTACACCCAATCCAGCAGACCTATACACACACAACTACCTCCCAATACTGAAAAAGGCAACGGATGAACTGAACAAATGGAACTCCTACTACATATCATGGCTAGGAAGGGTAAACGTGGTCAAAATGACACTGCTCCCCAAATTTCTATTCAAATTTCCAACAGTCCCGATACTAGCCCCACAATCGTTCTTCAAGGCACTGAAAATGGAAGTCCGCAGATTTTAATGGAAGGGCAGATCTCCCCGGGTAGCACACACCCAACTGATCCTTCCCAAACTCCGTGGGGGACTGCCAGACTTTGAAAAATACTACCATGCGGCACACCTCATGAGAATCATCAGTTGGACGGTGGCCAGCATCACGAAACCATGGACCCAACTAGAATCGGACATAACTAACTGCGACCTCAGAACACTACCATGGATTCCTAAAACAACATACAAACACGAACACATCACCAACCCATTCATGGCGGCTACCATGCAAGTCTGGCACAGACAGGGCACGAAACAATACCTGACGACGGACCCAGGCCCGCTCCTCCCCTTGAGAGGCAACCCAGACTTCCCGGCAGGAGATATGGGCCCAACCCAAAACCCAATGGGACACAAGCCAATCATCTGCATGAAGGACGTCCTCCAGTGCCCATTCGACAACCGGCCACTGAACGAATTATTCTGGAACCGACCACTCACCTTCATGCACACATTCCAGAGAGTGCAAATGGCACAATACGCTTTATCTATCCCTCAGAAACCATCCCTCCTGAGAGAACCAACATCATTTGAATTCCTCTGTACACAAGACAAGGAACCACCACAAGCTATATCACAGATCGACTCGGTTCTAATTACAAGCAGATACCTACTGGCACCTCCATGCATCAGACAGTGGGAGGAAGACCTAGACGAACCTATGACGGAGGCAGAATGGGACACACTCATTACCTTGATACAGAAAACACTGGGCTCAGCGCGCTTACAGGTTTTCACCCCTTCAGCAAACAGGGATTGGGAGTAGGAGGCAGAGGGGACCTGCAGGGCCAGGAAAATGGATTGTTTTCCTGGCACTGGAGTTTCCCTTTAAGCTGAAGTTGTCTGGGTGCCTATAGTGGTCCTTTAAGATGATTAAAGCATTAAGAGAAGTTATAATTGTATAGGGTAGGGGGTTTTCAGGAGTATTGGGTTTATTGTTAGAGTGGGATTAAAGTTAGTATTTGGGCACAGGGGTGTTTTTTTCAGGTGTAGACTTTGTGTTTGAATTTTTTGATGTGAAAATTATTGTTTAGGTTTTTTGAGGAGTTAAATTTAGGATTAGGAAACAGGCGGTATTTGGGTTACAGACATGCAGAATTTGGATGGCTATTTGCAAAGTTGTGGCCTTAGTATGAATGGCACTATAACTACAGGAGTTGTTACACAGTGTGCATTACTCGGTGCTGTCCACGGCCCTGCTAAACCCTCAATAACCATTCCTTCAGCTCTGTTATCGGTCATCAGGCACAGGAGGTAAATTGAACTACAGAGGACACTTGCGAAGGTTTTTAGTGCATAGTAACAACAGTCCACTTAATTCTCCTTTTGGCAAAGTCTCAAACTGCCACTGATGGCTGATTGTGTTGTAGAAACTGTTTTATGTTGCTAAGAAATCTATAGACTCCTGCTCATTTTACACACACACAAATCACACCCACACACCTATGCTGTAATACTATATAATATACTATATTAATATTTAAGAATAATTTTAAAAAATGTATCAATATGCATATATAATTCACTTTTTCTCGCTATAACAAATGCACACTACAAACTAGTAGATAAGCCATTGCATTATTTGTAGAATGCGCAATATTAAAGTGTGGCTGTACTTGTTAGATCCTCTGTGTGTCAATAGATGCTTGAAATAATCTTTTATCATAATGACACTCACTTGCAATTGTAATTGTATTAATGGAGGAGCCTTTGTTGCATATATAAGATAAATAATTGTGTTCTCAGCAAGGAGCTTTAACAAGTCGATAAATTAAACACAAAATTCACCTACTCTACAATTCAGTGTTAATCTATTAGCAGCATACGAGAAGAATAGCAATGTTTGTATCTAACTACCATGTTTAAAAGTTGGTTTTGCACATTCACAATTTTCAGAATAAATGGCACTATTGTACTTGTATATTCTGCCATGTATTATGCTTTATAATATTTGTAATGAATTATAATAATTTTAATTCATCCTTTGTTGCCTGTTGATATTTAGAAGTTTTTTTCTGATTAGAATCAGGCAGGGGCGGGCTGGGAAGGGGGCAGGGAGGCAATTGCCCCCTGGGCCACCCTAAACCCAGGGCCGCCCACATCCAGCAAAAAAAGAAAAAATCTGAATCTCCCGCCTCTGGCTGAGGACTCAGATTATTCAGCTTACCTCTCTCCCTGCAGCCAGTGGAGTCGGCCGGCCTCTCCTGATGATGTCAGGAGGAGGGAGCATGACTTTCACTGCTCTTCTCACAGGACCGCTGGGACATCATCAGGAGAGGCAGACTTCACTGGTTGCTGCTCTTGCTGGCTGCTGCCCACCCTTCCTTGACCCAAGGTAAGACTCAGGGAGGGGAGAAATACACTTTAGTTTTTTTTTATTCCCCTCCTCAGCCCCTGTCCCCCCCTCAGCCCTGTCCCCTCCTCAGCCCCTGTCCCATCCTCAGCCCCTGTCCCCTACCTCAGCCCCTGTCACCCTTCCTCAGCCCCTGTCCCCTTAGTCAGCCACTGTCACCCTTCCTCAGCCCTTGACCCCTTGCTCAGCCCCTGTCCCCCCTCCTCATCCATGTACCCTTAGTCATCCCCTGTCCCCCTCCTCAGCCCCTGTCTCTTAGTCAGCCCCTGCCCCCCTCCTCAGCCCCTGACCCCATAGTCAGCCTCCTCCATTCCCACTCCTCAGCCCTGTCCCCTTAGACAGCCCCCTGTCCCCCTCCTCAGCCTTGTCCCCTACCTCCCAGCCCTGTCCCTTAGGCACTGTCCCTCCACAGCCCTGTCCCTACCTCAGCCCCTGTCCCCTTCCTCAGCCCCTGTCCCTTGCCCAGCCCCCTTTCCTCAGCCCCCAATCCCTTCCTCAGCCCCTATCCCCTCCTCTCAGCCCCTGT